TACAAATTTCCAGCGACATTGGCTTCCTGCATTTAGTTTTCTGGTTAATCTTTATAGAGCTGTTTCCCTTTTGGGGATGGCGTGCTCTTTCATTACACAAGCCTCTACAGCCTTCCACTCTGAAACTGCCTTCACTCAAGTGAACAATTAATCCCGTCGTATATTACGGGCATACAACTTCTCTCTCTATTTCCGGAGGCCGGCCGTTCCCGATAATCGAAGGTCACATCATTTGGACGGGTGAGCCATGTGCAGGGCATGGGCCAGACGAAGGCATGCCCTGATTGGCCAGAATGCCAGTCAATCCGGATCGAGCATCTTCGAACCGATGCTACTCTCCCCCTCACAGAGATTCTAGCACGACCTTGTGGAACACCCTGTGATTACCCTGAAAATGCAGTTGCAATAATTTTCCTTTGCCTACATAAAAGGCTGTCTAAATATACCATACCTTATGACATACCATAGTGGGTGGGACAGGAAGCCAAGGGACGGATACAGAGTTGCACTGCCGTACATCAAGACATAACACTTTTTTGAGTGTTTAGTGCTTGGATCAGACCTCACTGTTCCAAGATGACTGAGGTGTTCACAACTCCGACTGTTTAACTCTCTCATAGTGCACAGACTTGGCCAACTATGAGGCAGGATTTTCCGCCTACATGCTAAATGGTCCGTCCACTTACCGGTCTGAATCCCGCACTACGACTGTGCGTCACTACAGACCTTACACTTGGCCTTAGCCACACATACAGCGTCAAATTCAGTTAACTGCTTCACCCCGTCAGCTCCACTTCCCCTGTCATTGCTTGCTCCCTATTTAGTTCCACGGTCCTGCACACAGTCTCGCTGTTTTGATGCTACCCATCTGTTGACTCAGACGCTGTGTTATGCATCTCCGGATCCCATTCCTGAATTTTCGGCGACTCTGAAGATTTCGTGGGGAATACGGTGAGTGCACATGGTGACGGGATGTGCCAATTTGAACCACATTTTTCTGAACCCGGCAAACCATTGTACCCGGAGTGCTTTAATTGTTTTTGCGCTGAAAAGGGGAGCGACTGAATGTATGAATGTGGTGCTGTCATCTCGCCCATCAACTCGTTACGACTATTTTGCTCGCAGTTCCTGTGCTACCATCATCGATAAGGATGACCAGGATTTGGTTGCAAGTGGTTAATTCTTATATAAGAAATCTGCTCCACGATCTGTTGGAAAGGGGCAAATTACCGGGCAAAAATAAGTCATACAAAGTATACTGCCTCTGAATGTCATAAAAATTGTCCGTTTTGAATAAGGGACCAAATAAAGTTACGGACTCTCTAACTATTCATAACTTTAGAAGTTTAACCTAAGCCCGCTGAATTACTCGGTTGACTGTTTGTTCGGCCACTGGAAGAAATCTTGCTGGTTTATCCGAAAAATCTGTTTTTTGAATAAAACCATGTGATTTTAAACGAGCATAGATGTGT